CAGAAAATAAACAAATATGCATAGAAAACAGAAAAAAATGATATAATAGAAATAAATCCCATTCATATCGTGAACAGCTATATATGCGACTAGCAGCATGGCCCGGCGTTGCCCGTGCTTGATTCAAAAATCGTACGACTCATACAGCAATCACTATCACTTGACTTAAAATATTTTTGCCCTTCCTTGCCTTTAAAGGAGTGCCTTTTGCCGTGCTGATGTTGCTGCATGCCTTACTTCTTGCCTATCTCACACTGCGAAATTTTTTTAAGCTCTATACTAAACATTAAATCTTTTACGAAAAAAGAACTAAACAAAATGAACACAAAACGATCAGCTTTAAAAAAAGGACTCGTAACTGGAAAGACCAAATGAAAAAAGAATGTTAACAACAAATACTTTTTCACACCCAACCCAGTTCTGCAGAATCAGAATCAACGTTGAGTTTAAGCAAGCGAATGAGCCAATTGGACTAAAGTGCCATGCAGATTTAAATTTTTCCCACTTGTGACGAATTCGGCTATCGATATTTTTTTGCATGCTAGTTAACAGTCGTGTCGCTGGCCAATAGAATCTTCCTGCCTGTTCGTGGCAGCCAGCTATTGGCTCTCACTCTGGCCAGTAGAAAATGGCCGCAAACTACAGGAAAACTGCCGTAGAAGCCTGAAAAAAATCTATTATTTCCACCATCGATGGGAGTTGGGAAATGCAAAGTCGGTCTTGGCCTTTCCCGCTAACTTGGAGCATGCGCATGTAAATTTTGGTGCAAATCCGTCGAAAATTGCGTCCGTGCATTCGTTGCACACACACACACACACACACATCCTGCCTTTTATGGACAGAGATTTTTACACACGGTCGCGCAAAGTGTAATGGACGCGAGGCTGCACGGCTGTATCAGATCGCGTTTCCAGACCGAAGGCAGCCCAGTCATCCAACTTTTGCTGCTGTTTATCGTCGCTTTGTTAGACAAGATCCACGGAACCACAAAATATGAATCGAGGCGCAGGGGAGTAATAGATAGCGGCTCTGGTTGAAGAATCTGAGAGCCGAGATGTAATTCCAGTCGGAATCAACATATTCACTGACGTGCTAATACTCTTGGGAAAGGTATGAATCTTCTTTATGGGTAAATAGCGGGATAGACTGGTTATTATAGCCTTGGATGGCAACTAGTCTAGGAGAAGGACAACTCTGAATTCATCCGGCATGGAGAGGATTGGACTTTGTCAGGTTATCTTGCCCAATAAACTGCAGTACACATTATGAATCTGGGGCTCCCTTCTCGTTAGTTAACCAACTTAGGGTGATTTTTAAAAAACCTGACCACGAAGAATGCGTTCTATAGGCTGTCAGCGACGATCCAGGTATCAGCACAAGTGGCTTTTGCGTGTCATACATCTCATAGTACCGCATAGAAAGTACTTCAAGACCTGTATCCATATCATTTGCATCGTACTAGGATCACTCACCACGGGGGACCTTTTGCCGATGATTTATTGCACAAACTGCCCATCCGTAGTTTGTTTCTTCAGTCTTGTTGATAAAGCAATATTTGGAAAAGATGGAAGAACAAATTTATACAAACAACATCTGTGGGCGGAATCCCCATCGTGCAATACAGGCTAGACAACAGCATCAGTTTATGATTAATGTGTGAACGGGAATTGTCGGTGACTGTCTGGTAGGACCATATGGTCTCTCAGCGCTTCATACAAGAGCTGTTTACTTGAGCTTTATTTCGAACACAATTGCAGACCTGCTACAGGATGACTAATTTGCAGACTCATGTGCTTCATGCGTGATAGGTCTCCAGTATATTTTACTCTCATTGTTCGCGATGCACTGGTTGACATCAACCATGAAAGATGGATAGGTAGGGGAGGATCGTTTACATAGCCTGCACTTCCCCCCAACTTTAATCCTTTGAATTTTTATCTGTGAGGCCATCTAAAACAATTGGTTTATGCAGCAGACGGTAATAATGCAGAGACACTTCATCAGCGTGTCATGGGAGCCTGTGAAACCATTCGAAACTATGCGGGAGTATTTGAAAGGGTCCGCCAGTCAATGATCCGACGGGTGAATGCATGTGTAGATGCAACCTGGGGACATTTTGAACATTTGTCATGAGTTGCTGTGTTGAGGTACAACGATGGCCTTTTGGACATATGTTTCTATAGACATTTCAACTTGTTTTGGTATCAGGAAACCTCCCCAAAGTCTGTAGAAGTATTTTTGTTACACCATATATATATATATATATATATATATATATATATATATATATATATATATATTAACTGATTTAAAAATATGGTTTCATCGCTACACGGCAAATTCAATTATGTTAAATTAAAAGCATTAGTTCTATTTCATCTTCAAACGAAAATTTGAAGTTTTTGTTTTCTGTCTTTGAAAGATGGTAATTTTCTGTAGCGGTGAAACCATATTTTTAAATCAGTTAATTTATAATATTTATGCTCTGTAAATTTACATTGGGCACTGTTTTGTAACAATAAAAATATCATAAGAACACCGGATTACATATCTTACTTCTTTTTTTTTTTATATATATATATATATATATATATATATATATATATATATATATATATATATATATATATATATATATGATTAAAAGTTTTTCACTTAGCTGATGTTACCTTCAGCATCCTGACGCTAGGGGTTTAGTAGGCAGACCTATCCATCCACTCTTCAGGCGGTAACAGTAATTTACTGCTTATATTTTTGACTTTTTCTTTTTATGAACATTTAGCACACACGCACACACACACACACACACACACACACACACACATATATATATATATATATATATATATATATATATATATATATATATATATATATATATATATCACTCAGAATTTCAGGTTCCTTTTTAGAATCGTACTATAAGATGCCCGCCATTTTCTAAGATGTTTGGATTTAAATGTCGTCATACGCATAAAATATATATATATATATATATATATATATATATATATATATATATATATATTATTATTATTATTAATTAAAAAGAATATCAAACGCATAACATCCCATAACCTATGGAATTTTAAGTGTTTGCTATTCTTTAATTAATAATAATTTTGTCTGTCTTTTGACATAGAGCTCTCCCTGGATCTATAACCTCCAGGAAATTCTATACGGATTACCATATTGTATCAATAATATATATATATATATATATATATATATATATATATATATATATATATATATATATATATATATATAAGTCTGTGTGTATTTGTTACCAATGAAGCGACAACAGATACAAAGAGCACAATAGCAAGTTTTCAACAACGAAATACTTTTTTTCTGTTATCTGTTTTATTTACCCGCGACCTCCCTACAAGGCGGGACATGGCACAAGGCCAGTTTTTTACGTTCCGAGCCCATAGATTCGGGCAAAAATTGCCCGTAGATGTCTGCGAGACTCTGCGCTTCGGCCTAGCCTCGTCTGGGTTCCTCTCCGCCCGAAGGCAGAGTGTCGACATGTTTAGTAAACTGTTAATCGCTCTCATCTGATAATATCGCTTGCATTCCTACATGAAAATTTCTCTCCTTGTGATGACAGTAGAAATCAGTCAATTATGTGCTATGCGTGATCTTTCGATACATGACTGACGAGGCAGATTTTTTTCCCTGTAGTAAACCAGTAGCCAAGCTGGCCTATTTACCGAGGGAGAAGAGGATTCATGCCTTTCCCAATACTATTAGACCATTTGCCATCCAAGGCTATAGAACCTGGTCTGTCCAGCTATTTACCTATAGCTGAGGTGAGTGGAAGGAGAAGAGAATTCATACCTTTCCCAAGGATATTATCATGTAAGTGAATATAATGGATTCGAGTGGAATTAGAACTCGGCTCTCCAATTTCTCAATCCAAGCCGATATCCATTACTCCACCGAACCTCCTATAATTATGACAAAAGGAATAAAATCCTTGTTTATTAACAAACAAGAAATTGGAGTACACATTTTAAGCTTTTGTATGGATGTAGAAATGGAAAAATGATATATTTAACTTTATTCCATATCTCAGATTGACAATCAAACAATATGAGGCCCTGATCTGGCATCTTGTCTGCAGTCGCTCTCTTACAGATGTGCCGTCACCTACCTCTGTCTTTTTAAAAAAAATCTTTCATGGTAACTGCTCCGATGAGCTGCTTTCAATGGTTCCCAGGCTTCATGAATTCAATCGTCCGACGAGGCTGGCATCTTGCTCTTACCCTTTCACTGTTAAGTCAGCCAGTCTGTTATGTGCCATGCATGATACACGTTTAGGCGATCATGTATCTTTCGATTTCGGATTTTTTCCATTTTCTTTCTGCGGTAGACCAGTTGCAATCCAAGGCTATAGAACCCGGTCTGTCCTGCTATTTACCCATAGCTGCAAGGAGAAGAAGAAGATTAATACCTTTCCCAAGGGCATTAGCACGTAAGTAAATGTAATGGATTCGACTGGAAAGTCAGTCAGTTATGTGTCATACGTGATACACGTGTAGGCGATCATGTATCTTTCGATACAGGACTGACGCGGTAGATTTTTCCCACAGAAGGTTGCCATTTGTTTCTTTGGTAGAACAGTTGCCATCCAAGGCTATAGAACCATCCGAGCTATTCGTTACTCCACCGTGCCGTCCCCTAGAATTTTATATTCTAATTTTATAAGAGAATTGGTCAATGGCGAATACTCTTTAGTAATTACTGAATATGAAACCTTTTGTATCGCATAACTATAGTGCAACTCTGAAATTGTTCTCCCCCACTCCTTTTTTTTCTCATGTTCTTACACGGTCAGTAACCATTTGCGTCTCAGTGGCTTTATTGCCTTTCTTGGGATTAAATGATAAAACAAAAATAATTAAAAATAATTGCTCAAGTGTTAAATGTCGCCCCATCTTTTTGATGGTACGAGTCAAAAAGTCCTGCGACCTTTTCCCAAAACTAAGTCAGGCTTAGTGAACAACAGACAGATAGATAGATAGATAGATAGATAGATAGATAGATAGACAGAGCGTTGAATGGAATGAAACAAGACAGATTCCACTAGCGGCTGAATGAATAAGCGAGCACCTTGAATCGAGTTTCACTTGCTGATGACTAAGTTCCCGTTGAGAAAATGCCTCAGTAAAAAAAAAAAAGAATCTTGATGATTAAAATTTTTTTCTTAAAAAAAATGTTGTCAACAAAAAAATAGAAATAAAAAAAAATGAAAAATGGTGGGGGATTTAAAAAGAAAAATAACAGAATCAAATCGTGATCGAATATTCCAATCAAAACAAGAAGCTCTCGCAGACCAGCAACCGTAAAAGATTAAAACTTCTGTTCCTGTTTTGAAAGTATTTCGCTTCTTCGTTGTTGTGAAAAGATTTCTATGCAAGTCTCACCTCTTCTTTTCTTCTCTACCGTCTAAATTTATCTTCGTTCTTTTTTCTGTATTTCGATTGCAATTTTTTTTGTGGGGTGGGGGTTCAATTTATTGTTTTATTTTCTTCTTTTCATTTCCTCTGCCATTTTTTCTTCTTTCCCGCCTTTTCCCTTTCATTCTTTTTTCATCCATATTCCATCTTTTCTTGTGATATTTAATCTTCGACGGGTCGAGATCTTGTGAGAAGCAATGACCTCTCAAATTCGCCTAATAACCAAGGCTAAACAGCCTAGTCTACACCATTATCTGTTGGTTTTGAAGGCAGTTATCCTTCTCCTAGACTGGTTGCATGTGCAACGCTAAAGAGCGTAGTCTACGCCATTATCTATTGGGTTTGAAGTCAGAGTTTTCCTTCTCTTAGACTGGTTGCCTATCCTAGGCTAAAGAGCGTAGTCTACGCCATTATCTGTTGGGTTTGAAGTCAGAGTTTTCCTTCTCCTAGATTGGTTGCCTGTCCTAGGCTAAAGAGCGTAGTCTACGCCAATATCTGTTGGGTTTGAAGTCAGTTTTCCTTCTCCTAGACTGGTTGCCTGTCCTAGGCTAAAGAGCGTAGTCTACGCCATTATCTGTTGGGTTTGAAGTCAGAGTTTTCCTTCTCCTAGACTGGTTGCCTGTCCTAGGCTAAAGAGCGTAGTCTACGCCATTATCTGTTGGGTTTGAAGTCAGAGTTTTCCTTCTGCAAGACTGGTTGCCTGTCCTAGGCTAAAGAGCGTAGTCTACGCCATTATCTGTTGGGTTTGAAGTCAGAGTTTTCCTTCTCCTAGACTGGTTGCCTGTCCTAGGCTAAAGAGCGTAGTCTACGCCAATATCTGTTGGGTTTGAAGTCAGAGTTTTCCTTCTGCTAGACTGGTTGCCTGTCCTAGGCTAAAGAGCGTAGTCTACGCCATTATCTGTTGGGTTTGAAGTCAGAGTTTTTTTTCTCCTAGACTGGTTGCCTGTCCTGGGCTAAAGAGCGTAGTCTACGCCATTATCTGTTGGGTTTGAAGCCAGAGTTTTCCTTCTCCTAGACTGGCTGCCTGTCCTAGGCTAAAAGAGCGTAGTCTACGCCATTATCTGTTGGGTTTGAAGTCAGAGTTTTCCTTCTCCTAGACTGGTTGCCTGTCCTAGGCTAAAGAGCGTAGTCTACGCCATTATCTGTTGGGTTTGAAGTCAGAGTTTTCCTTCTCCTAGACTGGTTGCCTGTCCTAGGCTAAAGAGCGTAGTCTACGCCATTATCTGTTGGGTTTGAAGTCAGAGTTTTCCTTCTCCTAGACTGGTTGCCTGTCCTAGGCTAAAGAGCGTAGTCTACTCCAATATCTGTTGGGTTTGAAGTCAGAGTTTTCCTTCTCCTAGACTCGTTGCCTGTCCTAGGCTAAAGAGCGTAGTCTACGCCATTATCTGTTGGGTTTGAAGTCAGAGTTTTCCTTCTCCTAGACTGGTTGCCTGTCCTAAAGAGCGTAGTCTACGCCATTATCTGTTGGGTTTGAAGTCAGAGTTTTCCTTCTCCTAGACTGGTTGCCTGTCCTAGGCTAAAGAGCGTAGTCTACGCCATTATCTGTTGGGTTTGAAGTCAGAGTTTTCCTTCTGCTAGACTGGTTGCCTGTCCTTGGCTAAAGAGCGTAGTCTACGCCATTATCTGTTGGGTTTGAAGTCAGAGTTTTCCTTCTCTTAGACTGGTTGCCTGTCCTAGGCTAAAGAGCGTAGTCTACGCCATTATCTGTTGGGTTTGAAGTCAGAGTTTTCCTTCTCCTAGACTGGTTGCCTGTCCTAGGCTAAAGAGCGTAGTCTACGCCATTATCTGTTGGGTTTGAAGTCAGAGTTTTCCTTCTCCTAGACTCGTTGCCTGTCCTAGGCTAAAGAGCGTAGTCTACGCCATTATCTGTTGGGTTTGAAGTCAGAGTTTTCCTTCTCCTAGACTGGTTGCCTGTCCTAGGCTAAAGAGCGTAGTCTACGCCAATATCTGTTGGGTTTGAAGTCAGAGTTTTCCTTCTGCTAGACTGGTTGCCTGTCCTAGGCTAAAGAGCGTAGTCTACGCCATTATCTGTTGGGTTTGAAGTCAGAGTTTTCCTTCTCCTAGACTGGCTGCCTGTCCCTAGGCTAAAGAGCGTAGTCTACGCCATTATCTGTTGGGTTTGAAGTCAGAGTTTTTCCTTCTCCCTAGACTGGTTGCCTGTCCTAGGCTAAAGAGCGTAGTCTACGCCATTATCTGTTGGGTTTGAAGTCAGAGTTTTCCTTCTCCTAGACTGGTTGCCTGTCCTAGGCTAAAGAGCGTAGTCTACGCCATTATCTGTTGGGTTTGAAGTCAGAGTTTTCCTTCTCCTAGACTGGTTGCCTGTCCTAGGCTAAAGAGCGTAGTCTACTCCAATATCTGTTGGGTTTGAAGTCAGAGTTTTCCTTCTCCTAGACTCGTTGCCTGTCCCTAGGCTAAAGAGCGTAGTCTACGCCATTATCTGTTGGGTTTGAAGTCAGAGTTTTCCTTCTCCTAGACTGGTTGCCTGTCCTAGGCTAAAGAGCGTAGTCTACGCCATTATCTGTTGGGTTTGAAGTCAGAGTTTTCCTTCTCCTAGACTGGTTGCCTGTCCTAGGCTAAAGAGCGTAGTCTACGCCAATATCTGTTGGGTTTGAAGTCAGAGTTTTCCTTCTCTTAGACTGGTTGCCTGTCCTAGGCTAAAGAGCGTAGTCTACGCCATTATCTGTTAGGTTTGAAGTCAGAGTTTTCCTTCTCTTAGACTGGTTGCCTGTCCTAGGCTAAAGAGCGTAGTCTACTCCAATATCTGTTGGGTTTGAAGTCAGAGTTTTCCTTCTCCCTAGACTGGTTGCCTGTCCTAGGCTAAAGAGCGTAGTCTACGCCATTATCTGTTGGGTTTGAAGTCAGAGTTTTCCTTCTCCTAGACTGGTTGCCTGTCCTAGGCTAAAGAGCGTAGTCTACTCCAATATCTGTTGGGTTTGAAGTCAGAGTTTTCCTTCTCCTAGACTGGTTGCCTGTCCTAGGCTAAAGAGCGTAGTCTACGCCATTATCTGTTGGGTTTGAAGTCAGAGTTTTCCTTCTCCTAGACTGGTTGCCTGTCCTAGGCTAAAGAGCGTAGTCTACTCCAATATCTGTTGGGTTTGAAGTCAGAGTTTTCCTTCTCCTAGACTGGTTGCCTGTCCTAGGCTAAAGAGCGTAGTCTACGCCATTATCTGTTGGGTTTGAAGTCAGAGTTTTCCTTCCTAGACTGGTTGCCTGTCCTAGGCTAAAGAGCGTAGTCTACGCCATTATCTGTTGGGTTTGAAGTCAGAGTTTTCCTTCTCCTAGACTCGTTGCCTGTCCTAGGCTAAAGAGCGTAGTCTACGCCATTATCTGTTGGGTTTGAAGTCAGAGTTTTCCTTCTGCTAGACTGGTTGCCTGTCCTTGGCTAAAGAGCGTAGTCTACGCCATTATCTGTTGGGTTTGAAGTCAGAGTTTTCCTTCTTAGACTGGTTGCCTGTCCTAGGCTAAAGAGCGTAGTCTACGCCATTATCTGTTGGGTTTGAAGTCAGAGTTTTCCTTCTCCTAGACTGGTTGCCTGTCCTAGGCTAAAGAGCGTAGTCTACGCCATTATCTGTTGGGTTTGAAGTCAGAGTTTTCCTTCCTAGACTCGTTGCCTGTCCTAGGCTTAAAGAGCGTAGTCTACGCCATTATCTGTTGGGTTTGAAGTCAGAGTTTTCCTTCTCCTAGACTGGTTGCCCTGTCCTAGGCTAAAGAGCGTAGTCTACGCCAATATCTGTTGGGTTTGAAGTCAGAGTTTTCCTTCTGCTAGACTGGTTGCCTGTCCTAGGCTAAAGAGCGTAGTCTACGCCATTATCTGTTGGGTTTGAAGTCAGAGTTTTCTTCTCCTAGACTGGCTGCCTGTCCTAGGCTAAAGAGCGTAGTCTACGCCATTATCTGTTGGGTTTGAAGTCAGAGTTTTTCTTCCCAGACTGGTTGCCTGTCCTAGGCTAAAGAGCGTAGTCTACGCCATTATCTGTTGGGTTTGAAGTCAGAGTTTTCCTTCTCCTAGACTCGTTGCCTGTCCTAGGCTAAAGAGCGTAGTCTACGCCATTATCTGTTGGGTTTGAAGTCAGAGTTTTCTTCTTCCTAGACTGGTTGCCTGTCCTAGGCTAAAGAGCGTAGTCTACTCCAATATCTGTTGGGTTTGAAGTCAGAGTTTTCCTCTCTCCTAGACTCGTTGCCTGTCCTAGGCTAAAGAGCGTAGTCTACGCCATTATCTGTTGGGTTTGAAGTCAGAGTTTTCCTTCTCCTAGACTGGTTGCCTGTCCTAGGCTAAAGAGCGTAGTCTACGCCATTATCTCTTGGGTTTGAAGTCAGAGTTTTCCTTCTCCTAGACTGGTTGCCTGTCCTAGGCTAAAGAGCGTAGTCTACGCCAATATCTGTTGGGTTTGAAGTCAGAGTTTTCCTTCTCTTAGACTGGTTGCCTGTCCTAGGCTAAAGAGCGTAGTCTACGCCATTATCTGTTAGGTTTGAAGTCAGAGTTTTCCTTCTCTTAGACTGGTTGCCTGTCCTAGGCTAAAGAGCGTAGTCTACTCCAATATCTGTTGGGTTTGAAGTCAGAGTTTTCCTTCTCCTAGACTGGTTGCCTGTCCTAGGCTAAAGAGCGTAGTCTACGCCATTATCTGTTGGGTTTGAAGTCAGAGTTTTCCTTCTCCTAGACTGGTTGCCTGTGCTAGGCTAAAGAGCGTAGTCTACTCCAATATCTGTTGGGTTTGAAGTCAGAGTTTTCCTTCTGCTAGACTGGTTGCCTGTCCTTGGCTAAAGAGCGTAGTCTACGCCATTATCTGTTGGGTTTGAAGTCAGAGTTTTCCTTCTCCTAGACTGGCTGCCTGTCCTAGGCTAAAAGAGCGTAGTCTACGCCATTATCTGTTGGGTTTGAAGTCAGAGTTTTTTCCTAGACTGGTTGCCTGTCCTAGGCTAAAGAGCGTAGTCTACGCCATTATCTGTTGGGTTTGAAGTCAGAGTTTTCCTTCTCCTAGACTGGTTGCCTGTCCTAGGCTAAAGAGCGTAGTCTACTCCAATATCTGTTGGGTTTGAAGTCAGAGTTTTCCTTCTCCAGACTCGTTGCCTGTCCTAGGCTAAAGAGCGTAGTCTACGCCATTATCTGTTGGGTTTGAAGTCAGAGTTTTCCTTCTCCTAGACTGGTTGCCTGTCCTAGGCTAAAGAGCGTAGTCTACGCCATTATCTGTTGGGTTTGAAGTCAGAGTTTTCCTTCTCCTAGACTGGTTGCCTGTCCTAGGCTAAAGAGCGTAGTCTACGCCAATATCTGTTGGGTTTGAAGTCAGAGTTTTCCTTCTCTTAGACTGGTTGCCTGTCCTAGGCTAAAGAGCGTAGTCTACGCCATTATCTGTTAGGTTTGAAGTCAGAGTTTTCCTTCTCTTAGACTGGTTGCCTGTCCTAGGCTAAAGAGCGTAGTCTACTCCAATATCTGTTGGGTTTGAAGTCAGAGTTTTCCTTCTCCTAGACTGGTTGCCTGTCCTAGGCTAAAGAGCGTAGTCTACGCCATTATCTGTTGGTTTGAAGTCAGAGTTTTCCTTCTCCTAGACTGGTTGCCTGTCCTAGGCTAAAGAGCGTAGTCTACTCCAATATCTGTTGGGTTTGAAGTCAGAGTTTTTCTTCTCCCAGACTGGTTGCCTGTCCTAGGCTAAAAGAGCGTAGTCTACGCCATTATCTGTTGGGTTTGAAGTCAGAGTTTTCCTTCTCCTAGACTGGTTGCCTGTCCTAGGCTAAAAAGAGCGTAGTCTACTCCAATATCTGTTGGGTTTGAAGTCAGAGTTTTCCTTCTCCTAGACTGGTTGCCTGTCCTAGGCTAAAGAGCGTAGTCTACGCCATTATCTGTTGGGTTTGAAGTCAGAGTTTTCCTTCTCCTAGACTGGTTGCCTGTCCTAGGCTAAAGAGCGTAGTCTACGCCATTATCTGTTGGGTTTGAAGTTTTTTTCTTCTCCTAGACTGGTTGCCTGTCCTAGGCTAAAGAGCGTAGTCTACGCCATTATCTGTTGGGTTTGAAGTCAGAGTTTTCCTTCCCTAGACTGGTTGCCTGTCCTTGGCTAAAGAGCGTAGTCACGCCATTATCTGTTGGGTTTGAAGTCAGAGTTTTCCTCTCTTTAGACTGGTTGCCTGTCCTAGGCTAAAGAGCGTAGTCTACGCCATTATCTGTTGGGTTTGAAGTCAGAGTTTTCCTTCTCCTAGACTGGTTGCCTGTCCTAGGCTAAAGAGCGTAGTCTACGCCATTATCTGTTGGGTTTGAAGTCAGAGTTTTCCTTCTCCTAGACTCGTTGCCTGTCCTAGGCTAAAGAGCGTAGTCTACGCCATTATCTGTTGGGTTTGAAGTCAGAGTTTTCCTTCTCCTAGACTGGTTGCCTGTCCTAGGCTAAAGAGCGTAGTCTACGCCAATATCTGTTGGGTTTGAAGTCAGAGTTTTCCTTCTGCTAGACTGGTTGCCTGTCCTAGGCTAAAGAGCGTAGTCTACGCCATTATCTGTTGGGTTTGAAGTCAGAGTTTTCCTTCTCCTAGACTGGCTGCCTGTCCTAGGCTAAAGAGCGTAGTCTACGCCATTATCTGTTGGGTTTGAAGTCAGAGTTTTCCTTCTCCTAGACTGGTTGCCTGTCCTAGGCTAAAGAGCGTAGTCTACGCCATTATCTGTTGGGTTTGAAGTCAGAGTTTTCCTTCTCCTAGACTCGTTGCCTGTCCTAGGCTAAAGAGCGTAGTCTACGCCATTATCTGTTGGGTTTGAAGTCAGAGTTTTCCTTCTCCTAGACTGGTTGCCTGTCCTAGGCTAAAGAGCGTAGTCTACTCCAATATCTGTTGGGTTTGAAGTCAGAGTTTTCCTTCTCCTAGACTCGTTGCCTGTCCTAGGCTAAAGAGCGTAGTCTACGCCATTATCTGTTGGGTTTGAAGTCAGAGTTTTCCTTCTCCTAGACTGGTTGCCTGTCCTAGGCTAAAGAGCGTAGTCTACGCCATTATCTCTTGGGTTTGAAGTCAGAGTTTTCCTTCTCCTAGACTGGTTGCCTGTCCTAGGCTAAAGAGCGTAGTCTACGCCAATATCTGTTGGGTTTGAAGTCAGAGTTTTCCTTCTTAGACTGGTTGCCTGTCCTAGGCTAAAGAGCGTAGTCTACGCCATTATCTGTTAGGTTTGAAGTCAGAGTTTTCCTTCTCTTAGACTGGTTGCCTGTCCTAGGCTAAAGAGCGTAGTCTACTCCAATATCTGTTGGGTTTGAAGTCAGAGTTTTCCTTCTCCTAGACTGGTTGCCTGTCCTAGGCTAAAGAGCGTAGTCTACGCCATTATCTGTTGGGTTTGAAGTCAGAGTTTTCCTTCTCCTAGACTGGTTGCCTGTCCTAGGCTAAAGAGCGTAGTCTACTCCAATATCTGTTGGGTTTGAAGTCAGAGTTTTCCTTCTCCTAGACTGGTTGCCTGTCCTAGGCTAAAGAGCGTAGTCTACGCCATTATCTGTTGGGTTTGAAGTCAGAGTTTTCCTTCTCCTAGACTGGTTGCCTGTCCTAGGCTAAAGAGCGTAGTCTACGCCATTATCTGTTGGGTTTGAAGTCAGAGTTTTCCTTCTCTTAGACTGGTTGCCTGTCCTAGGCTAAAGAGCGTAGTCTACGCCATTATCTGTTAGGTTTGAAGTCAGAGTTTTCCTTCTCCTGGCCTAGTCGCCACCCAAAGATTCTCTACTGTTTCCTTTACTTACTTTATTATTTTTGAATTCCTATGGCATCCCGTTACTGTATCCACAGTTTGAAATTCAAAGTTGTCTGTCTCTTAGGCTGGTTTTCCTCTCCTAAGAAGAAATCTGCTCTGCTATTTAACCCATAGTTCGTAGGAGAAGACATGGATTCATGCCTTTCCCAAGGGCATTTGCCCAAAAGTGAACGCACGTGACCAGCCCGATGTTTGAACTTGACTCACCGACTTAACTTTGCGCGCCCATAACACTAACCACTTAGCTAGATAAAACTAAACTTAGCTAATAATTAGTCCTCTTCTTTCACCCCCGCTTTTATTCACTCTCTCTCTATCTCTCTTTCCCTCTTTCTTTCTTTCTTTCTTTCTTTCTTTCTTTCTTTCTTTCTTTCTCTTACTTTCTCTCTCTCTCTCTCTCTCGTTATTCCTCCTTGTCTTTTCTATTTAATATCAGTCCCTCCTCTTCTCTTTCTTTCTGTTCTTCTCTTCTTTCATATGCCGGTCGTTTCGTGCAAGTATCATATTTTATCAGAAATGCTCGCAAGTGCGGGGAGAAGGAGTGACTGCTCAACACATAGTCTGACCAGGCGTGACTAAGCGATGTGAGAGGAAAATCTGTGAAGAAATTTAGAGAAGCAATTTCCTGTCTTGTTCATTCAGAAGAAGACGTTGCAGAGGAGAATCGAATGAATGAATAAAGAGCAAACGGGGGGTGGGGGAGGTAGGGAGGGAGGGGGAGAGAAGGTGGGGGGAGGAGGTGAGTGTAGCACAAGAGTTGCTGGCAAGAGAAAGAAAGAAAAAAGGTCGTGTGAACAAAGAAGGCGACGCGTCGAAAGAAGTTGAGTAAAAAATGCGAAAGGAAGCGAAGAAGAAAAGCAAAATAAAGAAAAAGTAGCGAAAAAAAAACAAAACAAAAATGAAATATAAGGGATAGAGAAGAAGAAGAAGAAGAAGAAGAAGAAGAGAATGAAAGTAAAGAAATGAAAAACTAAAGATTAAAATAGAAGACAAAAGAAAAGAACGAGAAAATGAAGACGAAAGAAAAGAACGAGAAAGCGAAGAGGAAAGAAGAAAACGAGGAAGCGATGAAGAAAGAAAAGAACGAGAAAGCGATGAAGAAAGAAAAGAACGAGAAAGCGAAGAGGAAAGAAGAAAACGAGAAAGCGATGAAGAAAGAAAAGAACGAGAAAGCGAAGAGGAAAGAAAAGAACGAGAAAGCGATGAAGAAAGAAAAGACGAGAAAGCGAAGAGGAAAGAAGAGAACGAGAAAATGAAGAGGAAAGAAGAGAATGAGAAAGCTAAGAGGAAAGAAAAGAACGAGGAATTGAAGAAGAAAAAAGATATTAAAGAATATCGGTAAGGAAAGGTAGAGAGAATGCATCAGAACGAAAAAAAATAAAATAAAATAAAACAAAGAATAAGGAAAACTAAAAAGTGAGAAAAGATCGATAATGAAAAATAATTAACAAATGAGAAAGAAAACCGGATGAAGAAAAAAAAAATGACGAAAATAAATGATAAGGAATAAAAAGTAAATACAGAATGAATAAAATGAAAAAAGAAGAAATTGATAAACAAGAAAATCTGTCCTGTGTATGACGATAAACTACGTCTTTTTTGAGGAGCGTGGAACCACCACTTAATTGCTGGTGTTCCCAGGTCCATCCTGACCCGGGGTGGTAGCACCTGTTAGGGTCCCAGCTATGGGCAAATAGTTAACCCCAAAACTGAGGTAAAAATGGGTTTTAATACCAGTAAGAAAAAAAATAATTATCAGCAAGAAATTTTTGAAGAAAAAAACTATTACCAGCCATACATTTTTGAAAAAAAAAATGATCTACAATACGTTTTTGAAAAAATATTACCAGCAATACTTTTTTTGAAAAAAAATATTACCCGCAATACATTTTTGAAGAAAAAAATTATTACCAGAAATAGGTTTTTGACAAAACAAAATATTACCAACAATAAAAACTTTGTCGGCATTAAATAACCTATTGTGGTTGATATACCGTAAAACACAACAAATCAAACCAAAAGAAAAATAAATTAAGAAAAAATAAAGAAGAAATACACTAAAGAAGACCGAAGAAAAAAAAACCGGAGAAAGTAAAGAATAAGAAAAAATAATGAAAATGAAAAGTGAAAAAGAATTTAAATAATAAGAGAAAAGGATGAAGGTAGACAATAAGATAGAAAAAGAAAGTAAAAAGAAAAGAAGTGAAATATAAAGAAAAAAGAAGAAAAATTACAAATAAAGAAAGAAAGAGAAATGTGAGTAGAACAGAAGAAATGAAAAAAGATTTCAAAAGAAGAGAAATAAATTAATGAAAAACAAGAAAGAATAAAAATTGAGTAAAAAGTAGAACAAAAGAAAGTGAAGAAAAGAAGGAGAAAGTGAAGAAAATAAGAAGAAAAGGAAAAAGAAGAAATTGAAGAAAAGAATTGATGAAAAAGCGAAAGAAAGAACGAAAAAGAAAGTAAAGAGCATTAAAGAAGAAAAAAGAAAAGAAGGTGAAATAAAAAAGAAAAGGAACGTAAAGAATGAGAAAGACGAAGAAGAAAATAAAAACAATAAGCAAGAAGAAAAATACAATGAATAAGAACGGAGTAAAAAAGAAATGAAGAAAGAAATAACAAAGAAGAATAAAGTGTACAAAAGAAAAAAAAATGGATGAAGAGAGTAAAGAAAGAAAAAGAGAAAGGATGTAAAGAAACAAAAAAAGAACAGAAAAAGAATAAAATAATTCTATTTGGAACATTCGCCGTAAACATTTTTGTCGTAGAATATTTTTTTGTAGGAAAAAAAAATGCAGAGAAATTGTCTTACGGCAAAAATCATATGAGGCAAAGCTTTACGGCGAAATCGCCCCCCGATATGATGACATTTTTGTAGGAAAAACTCGCCTTAAAAAAAAAAACTCGTATAACATTTTGCCGTATAGAATTTTTGCCGTAAAACAATTCGCCGCATTTTACCCTGAACTTCTTTTTTGGAGTAATGTTCAATTTAATATGCGAAGTGGTGCCTTGTTATCAAGTATATATGGATGACTTTTTTATAGGGTCAAACAGAGAAAAAAATTGAAAAGTAAAAATTTATTTAAAATGTAAAAGACTAAAAATATATGAAATTAACAAAGAAATAATTTAAAATGTGTGCCAATTCCAAATAATGCTTCGTAAATAATGTTTGTTTGAAAAAATATTGCTTGAGTTAGAATTATTGGCAGATTGATACTATGTTAACAGAAAGTTTGAAGTTAAGTTTGAAATATGAAATTGCGTGGCGCAGATTCTGGTGTCAAGTTGGATTTTTTGCTCTCCTCACGGACGAGGATGATTTGACACTAAGACTTCCCTTATTAAAATGTTTAAATCGAAGTAACAATAAGTGAGCCAGATATGCTTAATAACAAGATACTACGCATATTAAATTTAAAAAAATGCAGAGAAATTGTCTTGCGGCAAAGTTTTACGGCGAAAATCCCGAGGCGAGTTTTCCTACGGCAAAAATGTTTACGGCGAATGTTCCCAGAACCTGAAAAAATAATGAAAAATAGATGAGGAAAAAAGAATAAAAAGAAAGGTAAAGAAAAGTAAAAGAAAATATAAGAAAGAAGAAATATATTTACAGATAAATACAATATCCTAGATTTTTTAGTTTTTCATATACCTATATCCAAACTACTACGCTCCTATCGACATTAACATATACATTCTTTCCATAGCATACTAAATAATCCTGTCGAAGCGAGTTTGGGTGCACGCCTCAGGTGAGAGTTTCAAACTAATTTGCTTAGGCACTGGGGATCCGTTCCTCCAACACCATCCCCAGACTGCACTTAAAGAGATATGTTATGGCATTCCTGACGTCTGTTGTTATTGGTTGCTTCATGCAGTTTTGCTCGTGCCCCCATCAAAAATACCTTATCACGTTCCGTCTAATTGATAGGCACTGACACAGGCGCACAGACATAGAATGCACAAAGACATCCGTGAATCTTGGATTGAAGAAGGTGTTAGAGAATTCTTTTTTTTTTTTTTTTTTTTAGCCAAGGAATACTAAGTTTCATCAAAATCAGCCAGGGTAGAAAACACTGATTTGGCTTGAAGGGCAAGTGAGATCTTGATTTCTTTTCGCAAACGCCACGACATTATCAGTATTTTTAATTGCTTTTCCCACTAGAATTATTCACGGAATCCAACCTTAGGACCTCTCATAATTAAACCCGGCATTTCTTGCAAACACAACGAAATCAACGTAATGTCAATATTTTAATCTGATTTCCCAATGGAAAATTCAATTTTTTAACAACTCAAGAAGGTTTCTACTTAATTTTTTAATAACCTTTAGATTCCAATACAACATTGCCAATCCCTTGCATCAAATTCTTTCGAGAATCCTGTTTTTCTTTGATAGTTCTCCATGTCTCTTGGGGTCATTGCATAGATTAGAAAATCTTCAATTCCGCTTTTCAAAAAATGGGGAAAAAAAATCAAGCTTTTCCAATGCGCGGCTCCGACCGCGGCATACGCAAACCATTTCTTCCCCCGGTGAGCCATCGATCAAACACCTCACAAAATAAGAATCACTTAAACTTGTTGACAGATTTCATACGTATAATCTACGCTACAATAAATAGGAGTATCTGAGATCCTAGGCAGGACAGTGAACATTTTACGAATGAAAATATTGAGAAATTCAGTTGATGAGTTTGGGCTGAAATAGATCTATACTCATATGAGGTAATTTTGGATATTGTCGTGTTATATTATAAATTAATTGATTTAAAATATGGCTTTTTTTCGCTACACAGTTTTAACCATGTTTCAAAAATGGAAGCTGAAAGCGTCAAATTTAATTTTGTAATTAAATTAAAGACATTAGTTCCATACTCCAAAATTCGCTTGAGGATGAAATGGAACTAATGTCTTTAATTTAATTACAAAATTAAATTCGAAGCTTTTAGCTTCCATTTTTGAAACATGGTTAGAACGGTGTAGCGAAAAAACATATTTTAAATCAATTAATTTATAATGTTAATGCCCTGTAAATTGACATTGAGCACTATTTTGTACACGGATTATATATCTTACTGTTCTTTCTTTTTATTCATAAATAATATATATATATATATATATATATGAACGACAAGATAACTTACAGTGAAACCTGAAGAAGCGATATTTGAAACTGACATAGCCCAAAAAATAAAACTATGAAAGCCAATGGACGATTTATATTTTTAATATGTACCAGAATCTATGAAAATGCACCGAAACGACCAACTTGAAGAAGTAAAATTTGCTTTTAAAATACACCCAATATATATATATATATATATATATATATATATATATATATATATATATATGTGTGTGTGTGTGTATTTAGGGAGCAATCCTTCTTTCATGCACATTTCATTGAATACGACAGACAAGGTGCTTTGATTTAATTTTTATACAATTTCTCATGCGATCTAATGATTTTTTTCTTTCTTTTCAGATGATAAATTATATAAAAACTGTCCGAATGTTCTTTCGGCGCTTTCGGCTATACATTTAGCCATTTTCAAGGATGAAATATATTAACTGTTAAATAAGAAATAGTTTGTTGTATATTTTATAAAATGTTTTCATTTATAAAAAAAAAAAAAACACGAAACATGAGAAATTATATAATCAAAATATTGAGAAATTCAGTCGATGAGTTTTGGCTGAAATAGATCTATACCCATCTGAAGTAATTTTGCGATTTTGTCGTGTATATATATATATATATATATATATATATATATATATATATATATATATATGTTATGAAATGGACAAATTCCGACAATTATTTTAAGATATTATGTTTATGTTTATACGTTCTTTTTAAAGATACAAATATTTAAGTAAATGCTCCGTTTATATATAATATCAATCAGAGTTTTAACAGTGGGCTTGATGAGGCTTGCGTTTAGTGATATATATATATATGTGTGTGTGGCTTGCATGTAGGGTTATATATATATATATATATATATATAAAAACTTAAAAAACGATACTTGAGTTTTAAAATCCATGAATCAAATGAAGTATCTTTTTTGAGGCTTATTTGGGTTAGGAGTAGACACATTATATGCGAAATGCAAAACCTATGCTTGAAATCTTTTGTGATAGGAAAAAAACCTAAGCAGAGAAACAGTCCCAATTAACCAGACTTGGGTCACACACACACACACACACACACATATATATATATATATATATATATATATATATATATATATATATATATATATATATATATCAGATAGATTATACAACTTAAACGTTATTTTTAGTAGATACCCACGCTTTTGTTTAAACGCTCACTTTAGTTATTAAAA